AGGTGGCATTGGCTGGTAGACGGAACCCGGAGGAGTCCGACCCTGTGAGATCTGACGGGCCTTTGGGAGGTAATTGGCAGAAGGCGGTCTCTCAAGTACCCAGGTCCAATACCATGAAGGGCTTTATAAGTGACGATTAGCACCTTGAAGCGTATCCGGAGACTGATCGGTAACCAGTGCAGCTCACGGAGGATAGGTGTAACGTGGGTGTACCGAGGTGCACCCACAATCGCTCGCGCGGCTGCATTCTGGACGAGCTGAAGTCTCCGAATGCTCTTCAAGGGCTGCTCCATGTAGAGCGCACTGCAGTAGTAGGAGATGCCTAAGAGAGGCAATTGGTCTACAAAGATTGCCGAATGCATTGCAAACAGTTGCCTTCTTCTGGAAAATTAAAACCAGTAACAACGCTCAACGTGACAACCAATTTCAGCTGCTAAAAGTTGCAATCTCTGCTTCAGCTAGGAGACGTTGTTGCCTGAGCAATCGGAACATGTAGCAATCAGCACCAATGCCTCCATTTCTCCATTTGTAGGTGTGTCTAGAGGCGTGGGATTCATCCGCTTTGACAAGAGGATAGAAGCTGAGGAAGCCATCAAGGGGCTGAATGGACAGAAACCGCTGGGGGCCAGTGAGCCCATCACAGTCAAGTTCGCCAATAACCCCAGCCAGAAGACAGGGCAAGCGTTACTCACACACCTGTATCAGACAACAGCCCGGCGGTACACGGGGCCTTTGCACCACCAAACTCAGCGATTCAGGTGAGACGTGTTGCCCTCTCCTTTGTTGGAAGGCTGAGTGGTCAGGTCTTCTCTTCACCCAGTGCCTTGTAGCTGTTGTCCCTCTGCTTAAGGGAGATGTATTTTCAGATCCCACACTTGGAGACATTCATCGATAGCAGTGTTTCTCGACCTTAGCGACTTTAAGTCCTGTGGACTTCAACTCCCAGAATTCCCCAGCCAGCTCTGCTGGCTGGGGGATTCTGGGAATTGAAGTCCACAGGACTTAAAGTCGCCAAGGTTGAGAAACACTGATCTATAGTCTTATCTTTAGTCTGTCACATCTGGGTACCATTAGTCCACCAACAAGTATAATAGGAAACACTTGTTTCCTTCTATAGCCCCATGGCACAATCATACCAGTTGCTTCTTAACAAAATGTTTCTTCCAAAAAATAATCTATGGGCCTTGGGTCAGATAAAGAGTTTTCATGCTGCAAACTGTTCCTTTAAGATACTTTGGATCTCTCCCTTTTCCTGATAAAGCCTTATATTTACAGCTGATGGCCCCAAAACAGTGTAAAAGGAGAGAAATTGTTTTTCCCTGTAAAAGGGAAGAACAAAACTCTTTCTATGCTTGACTTAGTCTGCAAAGATTTGTTTTTATGAGGAGTCCTCTGGCTGGCTAGGCTACTGCAAGGAGGAGCCTGCTGGAAGGAACACCCCAAGGTAGAACAAACACCTGAAAATCGCTTTTGATAAAGGAGAGAGTCGTACAGATAGTTCTGAGTCAAGTTGTCTTTTAATACCTTTAATATCTTTCTCCTAGCAATTTTTGTAGCAATGACTCTATTGTCCTACCCAAGAATTTCTGGTGTTCTAACTCTGCTAATGTAATCGGAGACTGAGTTTTAACGTTGAGCCTAAACTGTTGCCAGATTTCTCTTCCATAATTAGAGCGCCATTAAAATAAAATAAAAAGAACAGTCTGGGCAATGCTATCTATCAAGGAGGAAGAACCAAGGCTCCCGAAAACATTTACCTGTGAGCTCTTAGAATCTTTTTCACGCTACAGGTAAACAGAAACAGATTTTGCCCTGCAGAATTCCTTAGCCTCTGTTCTGATCAGTTTGGAAGATACTTGAATAACCAGAACAAAAATGGTGTAAAATTCTCACTCCTTTTGTTTTGGAATGTCTGCTTGCAGCTTGAAATCTGTGCACATAGCACACATTCAGTATTCAATGTTTCCTTCTATGTTTCTCACATATTTTGTGTGCTGGGGTTCTTTCAGACATAATATGCTTTCTTTACACAGCAGTATAGAAACCTGCCCATTCTACAGTATGTAAAGATAATTCAGAAGTTTGCTTTTCCATTGGTAACCATGGCTTAAATATTGAAATACAACTGGAGAAGTAGATTTATTAAATTTTCACTTCTGGTAATGTAAGGTACATGGATTTACGTATCCTTTTCCCATACTCTTGTGGAAAAACAATCATGTGAGATTATCCCTTTCCATGTAACATTGTGTGGCACTCATATATATGGTATTTCTATCCATCACCCATGATATCTCCAAGGCTCAGCAGTTGTTCATCCTTCCAATTTACGGTAGCTAAAATGGTCCCATTTTATGACTCAGCTGAACAACTGAGATGGTGAAACACCTCATAGTCTATATTTGTGGCACAACATTAGCTTTTTAGGTACGAGTCTTACCATATTTCCTACCCACCAGTATAAGCTGGAAGTGCTAAATGCCAAGACTAGAGGCCTCCTCAGGAAATTGTCTGAAGCAGGGAGCTATTGAGTTACATGAAATTGTACTTTCCATCATGGCTAGCTGATTTGTTGAAGGGAGGTCAAGACAGCATGGATGATGGATTTTATTAGCCAGTTCCATACTAGGCAGTATTGCCAAGAATAAGGGATTTTGATATGAATTATGCATGCTCGGTTTTGGTAGAAAAGACTGTAAAAAAAATAGCATACTGGCTTATAAAAGAGGACAGAACTAAAACAGTGAGCATTTCTATCCTCTATTTTTTTTAAAAAAATACTTTGCTTGTTCTTTAGGCTTCTTGTTCTTACTGAGCAAGAGGGGTGTGTGTGTGTGTATTTCCCAGGGAGCCATTATAGATGTTTCCTTCTGCTTCGGAGATTATTACTGCATTGTGAGATGGAATTCAAGGATACTTTTTTCCTAAGAGGTTGACCTGGTCTTAGTCTCTTTTTGCTCTCAATCTATTGGGAGCTGTAAATAATTTTGCATTGTGTTTTTTGGTGTCTCGGACTTAAAAGACACAAGACAAAAGAAAATATCTTAACTCATCATGCGTTTTTGTTTTGCAGCTCATTTTCCCATTCTTTTATAAAGCATAGGTCATCTAATTCTATGGCGTGCTTAGTTGAGAGTTGGCTATCAGTTGTGGCTTAGTTGAAGAGCAAAACCAAAGGATGTTTCATGTGTTGATCGATTGTTGATAACAATCACCTTTACATCAGAGGCAAAGTTGAAATTTCTAAAATCCTGCTGATTGTTATGAGTGTAATTTTAGGGCTTGCTGTCTTCCTGATTATCCTCACTTGACTTGTCCTGCAAGCCCAATAGCTATGTAGTTAGAAATATCACAATGGAAATTTATTGATCCAAATCCTGGGGTAGGAATTCATCTCAGAGACCTGACTTCCGACACTGTGGACGTGATCAGACACTGTAGAGCAGTAAACTTACCCCTGATGCTATGCCAGGATTCTGGATTAATATTTTGTACAGCCAATGTCTATTATCCAGGAGCTGGGAGAGATAATTCCAGTCCCTAAAATGTAAATTTCAGGGAATTCCTTGTAGGCTAAATGAAGGCAAAACAGTTATAACAGTCCCGCCCCTTCTGACTAAATTGTAAAGCATTTAAAGTTGTGTCAACTAGCAATAGCAATAGAAATAGCAGTTAGACTTATATACCACTTCATAGCCCTCTCTAAGCGGTTTACAGAGTCAGCATATCGCCCCCAACAACAATCCGGGTCCTCAGTCACGTTGGACAGAGCCAGTAAGTGTTCTTTGAATTGTATCTTTTGTCTTCTAGTTGTCTGCCAACTAGCTTTGTGTGATAACGTGATGGCTAATTTAACATTCTTCATTGAAGGACTCAAAAAAAAAAGCTCACAATTGTAAAATATGCTAGTCCATTTTCTCCTGTTTCAATGGGGTATTTCTAAACCTGTGTGTAACGGATTTGGGGATTACCTCTCAGGTAAAATGGCCCATGTTTAATATTATCACTGAAATTACCTGTCAGGGAGTCAAATAGCTTTCAATTCACATTCAAATTATTTTGAAAATGCACGTAATGCTTTATTGCATTATATTTGGCTTGATTTGTAGAGGCAGAAGACAAAAGTCGCAACACCGCCCAAGTATTTCCTGTTTTTGTTTTTGTTTTGGTCTAGATCAGTGTTTCTCAACCTTGGTAACTTGAAGATGTCCAGACTTCAACTCTCAGAATTCCCCAGCCAGCATTCGCTGGCTGGGGAATTCTGGGAGTTGAAGTCCGGACATCTTCAAGTTACCAAGGTTGAGAAACACTGGTCTAGATGATACTCTAACCATCAAATAATCTCCAATAGTCTCAAATTATAGTTATGGATAGATAG